AATTATAAAAAAAAAAAAAAAAAAGATGCCAGACATGAGAGAATACATAACATGCATTTACATATACTTATGTATATAGAATTTTAGAATAGGCCAAATTAATCTATGTTGTTAGAAGTTTAGGGGAGGGGCACACACTGGAAGGAGGTTCTGGTGGGGCTTCTGGGGCACTGGTAAGTCCTAGTTCTGGAGCTAGAATTTTCACCTTGTGAAAATTCATTGAGATGTATGCTTAAGATTTGGGTACTTTTTGAGCCAGCTCTGATGGCCTAGCGGTTAAAGTTTGGCACGCTCCACTTTGGCAGCCCACATTTGGTTCCTGGGCGTGGAACCACAACACTCATCTGTGAGTAGCCATGCTGTGGCCATGGCTCACATGGAAGACCCAGAAGAACTAACAACTATACACAACTATGTACTGGGGCTTTAGGGGGGAGAAAGGAAGAAAAAAAAGGAGGAAGATTGGCAACAGATGTTAGCTTAGGGTGACTCTTGTCCTACAATAAAAAAAGAAAAAGATTTGGGTATTTTTCCATAATATTCAAAAATAAAACAGTAAAGTTCCTCTCAAAATAGAGAGATGGATGGATGAATGGACACATAGATGGATGATGGATAGATGGATAGATAAGGTAGAAAATAGCTTCATTTGCTTTTTTGGTTCTCTGCCTTCCTTGTGTCTCTGCCCCGAATCAGGTAATAAACTCCACATGGTCAGCGACTGCTGTTTTCTTGGGGACTGGCTCATAATATGCACTGAGAGTTTATTGAGTGATTGATTATCCTGAGTATTAAATTCTACCTATCTCCTGTGAGTGGTTTAAAGATATTTGTTGGGCCAGCCCCGTGGCTTGGCGGTTAGGTGCACGCATTCTGCTGCTGGCGGCCCGGGTTTGGATCCCGGGCGCGCACCAACGCACCGCTTCTCGGCCATGCTGAGGCCGCGTCCCACATACAGCAACTAGAAGGATGTGCAGCTATGACGTACAACTATCTACTGGGGCTTTGGGGGAAAAATAAATAAATACATAAAGATATTTGTCCTTCAATTCTTAAAATGTTTTAAATACTTGTATTTTTTAAGAGGATGAAGTAAGGGAGGTGTGTATTTCTAATGTCTTTTCCATTCTGATTTGGAAAGACTAGCCAGGACAAAGACTGCCCACTCAGTTCTCTTGCTGTTTGGGCACTCCTAAGCTGTTACTAACCTCATGGGTAATAGATTAATCAAGAGTTTGACAAAATGTTTTTTTACTTTCTGTTTTTCATTGGTAGATTGCAAATATGTTCCCTTTGGAAACTTGTCGGTCTTTTCTTTCCTGTGTGTACTTCAAAGGAAAAGTGTGTGTGAGGGGGGTGTTATGTGTGTTCTGGGTTTGCTACTTGTTCAGTGGCTTTATTCAGAAGTTTTAGAGCCAATCATTTTGAGTGGAAGAGATGGGTATTGCTTTGCTGAAATGTTAATTATATAGCTCGATTTCTCTTCCCACCGCCTGCCCTTTGTCAACCTCCAGAGCTTTAGACAAACTGAATGGATTCCAATTGGAGAACTTCGTGTTGAAAGTGGGCTACATCCCTGATGAAATGGCTGCCCAGCAGAACCCCCCGCAGCAGCCCCGAGGTCGCCGTGGGTTTGGGCACAGGGGCTCATCGAGGCAGGGGTCTCCAGGATCAGGGTCTAAGCAGAAGCCGTGTGACTTGCCTTTACGCCTGTTAGTTCCCACCCAGTTTGTTGGAGCCATTATAGGAAAAGAAGGTGCCACCATTCGGAACATCACCAAACAGACCCAGTCTAAGTGAGTATTCCTGAGTGTTGGTGGGCATTAATGTTTTCCACTTTGAACCTTAATAACAGAGTGTTCGTTCTGGTACTTGGTGTCCTTCTGAACATGGTTATGATCCCTTCTTGTACAGTTCTTGGGAAGCTGGAAAAACTTTGTGACTTGGTATCTTAGTGTTCATTTTATATAAATCTGGGGCTAAACTTTAACCTCAAAGGAAACCTCATATTTTCACGCATGAATGGAAAACAAATGATACCTAATCCACTTCTGGTGGGGGAGGCCCTGGCAAACAAAAGGGCAGCTCTAGGTTGTTCTCTGCTCCCCTATCCCCACCTGCACGCCAAGTGATACCTGCCTTCAGTGCTTTTGGAAGTAATTTTCTGAATTCAAATCAGAGATAGTTTTTCAGTCTTGCTTTACTTCAGTAAAGAATCATTCAGCTTATGGTCCAAATTTATCCCATGATTAGGCCATGTAGTTAGAATGGCCTTTTCTTCAGGATGTTGTTTGATAGTTTTAATTTGCAGATTTTAAGGGATTGGAGGAGCCTCCATCAAACATTGGGGCTATCTTTGCAGGAGCTATTTGTTTTTATTTACCACTGTAGCCCCAGTGCTGAGCACATTGCCTGACACGTAGAAGGCTCTGTTTGCCGAATGAGTGAAATGAGTATGTATTATGTTTAATGCCCTTAAAGATATATCTAAAGAACTGTGAGTGTACTGCGAGAAGAGGCTGTGTACAAACTGCTCTCGTGTCATTCTATGAAAAAGGGTAGGGAAATTGCCTTGTGCCAGCTACAGAGATGACTGTGAATTATTTTGCTTTTTAAATTTTGTAAGGAAAATTATTTCATTTTATGTAATACAATGAATTAAGCAGAGTCTTTTTCTGAAAGTACAACTATGGTACTGTGTATCCCTTGCTCGTGTGTGTTTTCTGACAGGCCTAGGAGGATCCATATTTGTCATGGGCACCATGCCCGTGTTGAACTAGCTGACTCATTTCTCATGCAGAGCCAAAAAGAACTGTGTTTAGTTGTGGTTGGGCACCCACTCCCCTGCAGAGTGACGTCCCTGCCTCCCCATTTTGAAGCAGGGGATGTTGCGTGCCATTACCTTTGTGCAAAATTAATGGCCTTGACCTCATAATGTAGAGGGTGGGGAGGACAGTGGAACCGTAGCCTAGGTGGCAGTTTTAATCTTAAATTTGCCTGGTTTTAATCTTAAATTTGCTTGGTTTTAATCTTAAAATTTAAGGGCTTTTTGCTTCCCTTGAGCCACCATTACCTGCAGAAACTATGAAATGGTTTTCCTTCCTTGTTGCTTGGCAGATTAGAGCTGTTCCTTTAACACTACTCATTTCCTTGTCAGAGGAGAGAGCTGCTGTGACTTAAATTGAACTGTTTGTTCTAAGGCAGGAAGATGGAGGATGGAGAGGGAAGGGAAGCAATTTCTGTTGTATCCGATGATTCGTTTGCAGAGCGCTGCCAGTGGATTTAATTAACTCTTGCCATTAAAACTAGTCATTATCAGATCCTCTGTTTCTGGAACGGCCTCAGAGGGTTACCCTAATCTGTAAAGCAACATTCCCTTCTATCAGAGAATCAGAATTTAGTAATCCTTAACACAGTGAACAGGTGGAAATAAGCCAGAAAGAGGGAGTTTAACATGTTACCTGCTGGAAGATAAGCAATACTTAGTGATTGGGGATTGAAACAGTGGCTGGAAAGATGGTTCCTGAGATTGGGTCTGTTATCTAAGACATTGTTTTTCGTTAGTTATTTCTGGATAGCCCTTATTTATTTCATTTCTACATCGCCCTGAGTTTTAGTTATAGGTTTTACTTCTGAGATATACCTTCAGTTTTCCACCAGACCTTTAGGAAAATGAAAGGAAATCCGAACCTTGATGTTACTGGCATGACGAAGTGGTTGTTCTCATGGCCATAAGTTATGTAGCTCTTCATCTTCTAGTGTTGGAGTGACCAAAGGGACTCACAAGTATTTAATTTTCCCTGAACACCCTTTTTTGGGTAGTTGATTTCCTTTCTTGTACTTTTTAAACAACAGCAGACTTACTTTGCAATTAATTCAAGAATGTACAAGTACACAAGTTAAAAAAAGAAAAAAGTTACCCTTCACCTTCACAGAAAAAAGTTACCCTCTGATGTAGCCATTGTTAAGTTGAGGATATATCTTTATAGGACTGGTTCCTTGTATCTACTAACATGTGTAGCTTTAAAGGAGAGATCTCATCATGGTATGTATTGCATTTTTTCAAGAACCTCTTACTATATTGGTACCTGTAATTTTACCACGTTTTTAAACAGCGGCATGATATGGATATACTGTTGTTTAATTGTCTCTTCCTGATGGGCATTTTAAAGATAATTCCAGTTTTCTATCTACTACAAACAGTGCTACAGTGAACATCCCTCTGCCAGTGATTTTCAAGCAGGGGTGACTCCCCCTCACCCCAAGCAGACATTTGGCAGTGTCTGGAGACATTTTTGGTTATCACAACTGGATGAGGGATGTGCTACTGGCATCTATCTGGTGGGTAGAGGCAAAGGATGCTGCTAAACATCCTACAATGTACAGGACAGCCCCCACAACAAAGAATTAATGTGGCCGCACATGTCAATGGTGCCGACGGTGAGCAACACCAATCTTGGCCCACATATGAGACTGCTTCCTTGGGAGATATTAGGAAAAGTAGAATTCTTGAGTCAAAATGTGATAAGCGTTTTAGCGTTGGTAGGTCCTGCCCGTTTGTTCTACACTCCCACCAGGAGTGTGGGGGTGCCCAGTTGCCCATCCTCTTGCTGATGTTTAATTTTATCTATCAAAATATTTGCAGGTCTGGAAGAAAATGCATCTTGTTTTAATTGGTGTGTGTATAATTACTAGTGAGAATTCAACATCATTTTGTGTTTATTGGCCATTTGCTTTTCTTTGAAGTAGAATTACCATCTCTTTGGGTTTCATTCCTATCACTATTTGTTGCGGAGTTTCCTCTTTCAAGGAGGTAAAATGTAGAAAGAGCCTTGTGAAAGGAGACAGATGAGCAAAGTCTTCTCATACAATGAATAGTGTGAGAATACTGTGTAGAATAAGAAGTTTGACCTAGCTTGTGAGATTCCAACTCCAGCTCTCTTGGCATGCATTCCAGTTCCTTTTTGTTTTAGAGCAGAAGAAAGCCTTTTGTCTGAACCCAGGCTCTTTGATGTGAGACGTTTGTTCTGTGGCATCTAAAAGGAAGCTTTAAGCACATACAGCTTTGGCAGAATGAAAAGATGTTCCTGCTTGGTTGGATTGAGGAAAGAGAGGGAAGCGTTCCTGGAATTAAAATTTGTCTTTAAGGCATCCATGTTGACAGCTTTTCAAGAATTTATGCTCTTGAGGGAAGTGAGTCATCCACTCTGCACAGTAGTCCTATGACTTAGAAGTTGCTAATTACAGACTACTGTGAATGCATGCTTATAGCTCGCACTTTCCTCTCTCCTTGTGCCCACCATAAGAATCGATGTCCATCGTAAAGAGAATGCAGGTGCTGCTGAGAAGTCGATTACTATCCTCTCTACGCCCGAAGGCACCTCCGCGGCTTGTAAGTCTATTCTGGAGATTATGCATAAGGAAGCTCAAGATATAAAATTGTGAGTAAAAGGGATTAACCTGTGAAGAGGTTGATATTCATGCTGTTTTATTGTGTATTTCTATGACACAATTATTGGGAATTGCCAACAAACACAAGGAATTGCTGTCCCAATGAGCTACAGTGATTGGCACTATTTATTTGGTTGTGAAGCATAAGCTTTTAAATATTTTGTTTTCATTCATGTTTGGATATGGAGTGAGTAGTGGTAATGGGGCAAGTCCAGCTGTAGAACAAGGCAATTGGGGGACATAGGAAGCCCACCTAAGGTCCAAGAAGTATCCCTGGGATTTACCCTAGGTGGGGACCCCAAATCCTCACTCCTTTACTCTGAGCTCGCTGGGGCTCTGTTCTTTTTGTTTGCCCAGCCCCATCCTGCAGCAGCAGGGAGTACAGAGGTGGGAAAATCCCTAATCTTGTGCTAAGGTAAACTGAGGATTTATTTGGATGTTCCAGGTTGGAACTCTAAATATCTTTTCCACGGGCACCCTGAGTGAAGGTTGGGTTCTGAGCTACTTTTAGCAGACTGCACAGTGCTGTGCTAAAAGGAGAATCTGGAGTAAGATGCTGGAGTTAGCCTGGGGACCTCATCACAAGCCCTTAATCTGTTGGGACCTTTAAAATATATTAAATATATTTTAGTTATTAAGGTGTCATGTGGTGCTATATTGTAAGATTGTAGTTCTTTTTTAGTATAGAGAAAAATAAAGGAAAAGCCCACCATCCAGATAACCCCACTGACATTTTTAGACAGTGATATGTATATGACTTAGAAATTCAGAAATGTACGAAATGAAAAGTGAAAGCTCCCCCTTCCTGCTCTTACACTCTTCCCCCAAGGTGTAACCACTATTGAGTTTCTTCTGTTTCCTTCTATAAATTGTGCACTTATCTCCAGGTATGTAATTTAAAATTTATACTAAAATCATCCTGTTTTGCATTTGTACTATGTGTTCTGATATTTGGGGTTTAGGAATATGGATTTGAGTAAGAGGTGTTTTCAAAGAGCTTAACAGAATCCATCATTGGAAGATATTCCCTGAGATGAATAAAAGAAAACTCTTTTAAAAATTAACTTCTATCCAAATACTTGTTAATGTTTTTTCACTCCCTCTGTTCATGCATTGCTAGAATGTAGGCTAATGGTCAGCAAGCTTTAAACTCTGCCCAGCATAATGCTTCCTATATGATAGGTAGGAAGTAAATGTTTAATGAATGAATATTGTCTTTTTACCCAAGAGTAAGTTTACTTACCCTGATTTCATGACCTTTTTTTAATTTACAGCACAGAAGAGATTCCCTTGAAGATTTTAGCCCATAATAACTTTGTAGGCCGTCTCATTGGTAAGGAAGGAAGAAACCTTAAAAAAATCGAGCAAGACACAGACACTAAAATCACGATATCTCCGTAAGTGCTGCCTTGCTTTCTTTTGCATTAGAAAATTTTCACACACTGTTTTTTAGCTGTAGGTTTTATATTAAGCATAGCTTCTCCCATTTTATAGCTGTTGGAGCTAGCCTGTACTGCCTTACTTACACTTCGTTTCTCAAACTCAGTCTACTGTCTACTATTGGTTTCCAACCATATTGCAAGCATTATCTGTTCCCACTAAAGAGGCAGGAAGCACTCAATACCTTACGTTCATATTTCTTAGCTGAAGTCTTGGTCAAGTTTTCTGACATTTATTTCCGAAGTTGGAATATATAACCCAGTTTATTATCTATTGCTGTGTAACAAATTATTCCAACATTTGACAGCTTAAGACAATAGTAAACATTTATTGCTCACCTGGTGTCTGTGGGTCAGGAATTCAGGAGCAGCTTAACTGGGTGGTTCTGGTTCAGGGTCCCTTGATGTTGCTGACAAGTCAGTGCTGACTGATGGTGTGAGGCCTCTGTACCTCACCACATGGGCCTCTCCACTGGGCTGCTTGGGTGTCCTCAAGACATGGCAGCTGTCTTCCCCCAGAGTGAATGATCCAAGAGAGAGCAAGATGGAAGCTGCAGTGTCTTATAACACAGCCTCAGAAGTCACACTCTGTCATTTTTCTAATGTTGTTTACACAAGTCAGCACGGGGAGGGGACTATACCTCACTGGGAAGGGGGTCATCTTAGGCTGCTAGCTAGGGCCCACGAGTGCTCTGAAATTATATGGAAATGTTTTTCTCTTTCTGAGAGTGACTATCCTTAGTTTCCGTTAGAGTACCCAAAAAAGATGAGGTGGGAAGAGATTGATGAACTAAGGAAGAATGGTAGGGAAAGACTGAGGTGACATGTTTGTAGCAAGGAGTTGTCAAAGGAGGAGGAGGTGGTAAGGAAGTAGGAAAGTCCTGCTTGGTTGTAAAGAAAGAAAAAAACCACAAAGTGGTAAATATAATAAATGATCCTACCCTATCTTGAATTTTATGCTTAGAAATAGGAGGATTTTAAGAGAAAAAAATCTTAAGAGCTATTCTAGAAGCAGCTATTTTAAAAACTGTAATATAAAATGTTTGGCATGGGAGAGGTGAATTGAGACTAGAGATTAGAAATACACTTCTTTTCAGTAGTCTAAGACAAATCGTCTTCATTGTGTAGATGTTTACATTTTTAGCAACTTTGAGAAAAAGTTAAGGAATAATACCCCATTCATCTGGCTCAAGATTAGCTTAAGACACTCTGCTAGTAGTGAAAATGAGAATTTTAACCCTAGGAATATGAGGGAGAGCTGTACCAATATTCCATATCCTTTCAGTCTGTGTACTTTGTCTCATTTTCCATGGTAAGTGTCTTGCATTGCTTTCCCTCGCAAGGCTGTTGACAGGTTCAGGCTTAGGTGGTCTCAGATGTCATGTGAGTGGATTTTGAAGCTTCAGCAGGACCTGGGTCAAGCAGGGAGTTTCTGAACACTGCTGTTGTATTCTAACTTTTTAGTTGTCTAAATGGTCATCAAAAGTCCTTTTTTTAATTTAGTTAAGATGGGTTGATTTATATTACTTCCTCCAGCCTACTTTGATCTGACTTCCAATTACTGGCAAAAAGTAAGTATAGACACATGAATTCTGGTTTGCTTTTTTGGAGTATATCGAAAGTATATCCTTGCTTGGTGACCCAGAAAATGCAATTGCACGAGAATGACAATTATGCCTAGAATTGGTCAGTGCAGACTAGGAACATACTTATTAAAATTACATACATCTGGTTCTTGGTTTCCACTAAAACTGTACATTCCTCTGATCATTTCTTTACATTTCACTGTTAAATTGTGAAAATGGTTCAACCTTAAGTGGTAAAGAATTACTCTATGTTTAAAACATGGACTTAATTGAACTATGTACACCTAGTAATTTTTATTGAGAAGGTGGGATGGGGGAGTATTTTCTTCTCTCCTGCAGCTTTACAATTCTTGGATTCATGTCTTCTGGGGTTTACTCATTTTTCATCATGTCTAACCACCCACTTTTACATATTGCCAGCCTCCCCAGTTGGTCTTAATTGCCATCTGTGGCTGAACTATTATTAACTGTCTTCCTCCTATAATTTCCATTCTTTTTCTTTCCCCTCTTTTTCAATCTGCAGATTGCAGGAATTGACGCTGTATAATCCGGAGCGCACCATTACAATTAAAGGCAATGTTGAAACATGTGCCAAAGCTGAGGAAGAGATAATGAAGAAAATCAGGGAGTCTTATGAAAATGATATTGCTTCTATGAATGTTAGTTTTAATATGAAAGCATGTTTTTATTTTGGTGAACAGTTACAAAGATGTTTTCAATTGCAGTGATATTGATTTCTTTAATTGTGTCATCATTCAATGGAGTTTCTCACTGATTATTAGCACCATAGTTAGTGCCCTGGGGTAGTTGGGAAGACATAGGCTTTGACATTAGGCTTGGCTATCTCTGTGATTTTAGAAAATTTTTTACTATTTGAGCCTTAGCTTCCTTATCTGTAAGGTAAGCCTAATACCTACCTAAAAAAGGTTAATCTCTCGCGTACAATGTTGATTTGAGGGAGATTAGCCCCGTAGTAGAATTGTGGGCTTTAGAGGTATGTGAACTGGGTTTGAATCCCAGCTCAACCATTTATTAGTTGCAACTCTGTTTACTTGGACAAGTCATTTGATCTCTCTGAGCATCAGTTTCCTCATCTGTAAAATGGGACTACGGCCTGCATTGCATGCTCACTAGAATTACAATAGATACAGTGCATATGAAAGCTGCTATAATAAATACAAATTTAAAACTTGGTTACTCATAAACCTTGGAGATAAAAGAATTTCAAATGATAAAACAATCTGTGTAGTACAAGTAAGGCAGTGAAAGTGGATTGCTGACATTCCTTAAGGGAGGGAATGGTGCTGAAAATGTAACATTTCGAAAGTCCATCTTGAATTTTCAAGTAAATGATTGAAACGAAAAATTCCTCAATTGGGCCTGACATCTGAAACATTACACATAAAAGAAGGGAAATGTAAAGATGATATAACCTTTGTGAGAAGAGCCTAGAATGCTAATCATTTTACCCTCACATTGTCACTGCTCAGCCAAATGTTTCAGAGTCGATTGGGAGTAAACCCAACCCCATAGGTCTTTTAAAGTGATTCTCAAGTATGCTGAAGTCTCAATTCTCTCGTCTTCACCTTACTTCCTCAACCTTTATAAAATTAAACCAAAACAAAATCCCCTTTCTGCTCCTGGATCCACTCCAAAGATATGTTTACTTGCAGTAGTTACATGGGGATGGGACCTTGATTTCCAAAGGGCTTGACTTTGTTTTAGGCCTTTGGACCCATGACTGCCAAATTTTATCCAAGGAGTAAAGATCTCTTGATAGCTGGTTCTGTATATCTGGTTTGCTTTTCAATGAACAAATCTTGTTTGCTTACTTCTTCAACCAATGCAAGATTTTCTGTCTGTATTTACTGTGTGCCCATGGTATGCAGAGTACGTATTTGTCTTAGCACTGTGAGCTGGTCCTAAAGGAAAGGAAGGCTGTGTTCTCTGCTTTGAGAAACGTAGTGTAGCTATAGATCAAGGAGGGGCAGATGAGCACATGGATTTTAAAATACTAAGAAATATAAACAGATAGAAACTATATACTCAAGTATGATCACATGGAACATATACTTTGTACTAAAATTTGAGTCATAAAATGACTTCTTTATTAGACAAGAAGTCACAATCTGAATATTGTCCTTTATAAATGCTCACTTACACTTGATCTTTTCCTTGTAAAATGAAGGGACCTTTTTACCTTTGCAGCTTCAAGCACATTTAATTCCTGGATTAAATCTGAATGCCTTGGGTCTGTTCCCACCTACTTCAGGGATGCCACCTCCCACCTCAGGGCCCCCTTCAGCTATGACTCCTCCTTACACACAGTTTGAGGTAAGATATGTGCCTTGGCTTTCTTGATGGTTGAGCGGGATGCAGTCAAAGGGACACAGTCACACTTAGTTGCCCTCGAGTAATGTGACATTAAATGATAACTGGGAAAAATCTTAATGTAAAACCTGGTCCCCATGTGATCTATCATCAGCTTAGAACCAGCACGTGCTTTCCAGTTCTTGTCAATAGAACCTTCCTATCTACCCCTTTGTAGACACACGAGTTATTATTTATTTTTTTGAAGTTTTTGGATGGTAGGGTTGTCAACATATGTTTTTAAATATTAAAGAAAAATTTGAGACTTTGGGGAGGGGGAAAGATGTTAGTTATTTTTAAATATTGAAGGAAAGGACTTTTAAAAGTCTTCCTTCATCTTTAACCTCACCTGGAAATTAACTACTTTTAAAGGCCAGTAAAGACTGGACATGCTTTCCATTCTTAGTGTTTGTACTTTTTAAACAGTGAGCTCAGATAGTTTTGCTCACAAATCTGTTGTGCGTGTGTGTGTGTGTTTGTGTGCAAATGTTAAACAGCTTTTATTTGTTTTGCAAACAAGTAGATTATTAAGAAATAAACCTTATTTTTATATTTGCTTTTTAAGAATAGCAATTTCCCTGAGGTTAGAAATAGACCAGTGATCTTATGAAAATAATTGCAGCATAGCAGACGCCTTATACAGTAATTTTTTTGAAAATAGTTCATAATTCAGTTGCACTATCAGTGATAGTTGGAGGTAGACAATCATGTGAAATAAAATTAACATTCTAGGATCTTCCTTCATGAATTTGTTTTTACATCTCTCCCTTCCTGTTCGGCTCTCTTCTTATTCATATAATGTTTTGAGTGGCACCTTCTACACCAATTTAGGGAAATGTCCAGGTGGAGTAGGTTGGGGATTCCATTTTCACACTGCCTAGAGTATACGTAGAGTAAAATGCCACTAGGATTCTACAGAGAGCACAGGTCGCTGTGATTGTCCATATTTTGTCCCTTCAAGAAGGAGCATTTCCTTTGCCTTTCCTGGAAACCACCAGACCGTTAGGTGTTCTTAGCTTTTGCCCTCTTGCAGCATGTGTTTCTGCCTCTACTGTCAGCAGCAATTGCCTCTTCCCCTACAATTCATCTGCCGCTGGAACATGTTTGGGCCTGGAAGTCATATAACAAAGCACATTAATCTAGGGATAGGCATCAGAATTTCAACTCCATATCCAGTGTGAATAGATTCATTATGCATTAAGTGAAGCTTTCCACCACAGCTGAAGGTGATGTGAAGTAGCGGATGTGTTTGCACCTTGATGCTAAAGGGGACTGGTGGAAAGAGCCCTGGAGTGAGCGCCTGGTCTGCCCAGCTCTGCGCTGGGTTTGTATCACTGTAGGTCGGTCTCCTCTTTGCTCTGTGTTTGTTTTCTCACCTGCACAATGAAGAAACTAAACTAGATGAATTATCTCTAAGGACTCTTCTTTTAGGTCAAGCATTTCTGGTTTTTACAGAATTCAATAATATAAAAATTTTAAGAAGAGGGTAAAAGTGAGCCTAAAATAGGAATCTGAGAGTATATGGACTTGACCTGTAATATGCCTGCTAGTATCTTTATTACAAATAAATGCGTTTGTCCTATGATTGAGTTTAGGGCAGATGTATCCCTGATGGTTCTGTGTAAAATGACATTTATTGAAAGCTACAAAAAGCTGATTATTTAAAGTAACTCTGTGCTAGAGATGCTCTCCTCTAACCTACATTTCTGCTAGCCACTTTAACCTAGCTTTCTCTTTGGGCAAGTCACTTACCTCTCTGTTCTTCACTTTCCCAGCTTGTAAATTGAGGTGTCACTTGAACTCTCCTCTCTCTGCTGGTTACACATGTCATGTTCAGTCAGTAAAGCCTCTCACATTATGAGTGGTAGCATTTCAGAACATTCTTGAGCATCACCTGTCTTCTACACTTAAGTGGATGCTTCAGTAGCAAAAATTCCTGAAGTGAATTGCTAGGTAACTATTTTTTAAATGTACAAATAAAAGAATATGAATATTCTCTGGATTTAGTCAAGTTTCTGATTTAATGATATGGTTCTGTGTATTGGGTTCCCATGTTGTTAGAAAAATTGTTTTAAGAGAAGGGAGATCATATTAAGCGCTTAAATTTCTGAAGCACTTTTACAATTTTAAATGTCTGAGTGACTTAAGTAGCAATTTTGTTTTATTTTAAGAATGGGAGAAGGTCAGTGATCTTTACTTTGATAAAAGTGAGCCAAAAGTAAATGTAAGGAAGATCTCACTGGAATAGGTGGTCTTTGCTTCTCCTGAGGTTTTAAAACTAAATCAGGTAGATGCAATTAGAAATAGCCAGTGAGAACAGGAGAAGATGCAGAAGCTGCCAGCAGTAAAGGTAGAAACACTGCAAGAGGGCAAGAGCTCGGAACCCCTAATGGCCTAGTGGTTTCTATGGCAGGAAAAGGAAATTCTCAGTCTTAAAGGGATGAAATGTGGACAGTCTTAGCAATCCATGTTCTTTGCAGAATTCTAATGGGCATTTTACTCTACATGTATTCTGGGCAGGGATAAAATGGAATCCCCAACTTTACACCGGACATTTCCCTAAATTGGTACAGGAGGTACCACTCAAAACATTAAATGCGAAGAAGAAGGGCAAATCTGTCATCTGTCTAGCTGGAATGGTTGATAAATTGTATATATATTGCATGTGTTTGCTGCTGATGAGTGTGGTCTTGTGATTTTTCTATAGATTTACACCTGCTGCTAACTTCATCTCACTATTAGTCTTGAACCTCAAAAAACATCAGGACTTATCCATAGAACTTAAAAGTGGAGGAGACATAGATTTGTAATCTACCTTTTTCTCCAAAATGGAAGAAATCTTTGCTTTTATAGGTTTTAAAAATGTGTCCTCACAATTGCCTTTTCCTCCTATAGGTGTATAATCCTGTCTTGGATTTTTTTTTTTTTTTTTCAAAATTTATTTATTTTTTCCCCCCAAAGCCCCAGTAGATAGTTGTATGTCATAGTTGCACAGCCTTCTAGTTCTGTGTGTGGGACGCGGCCT